AAAACCTTATCTACATCCTCCTGTTGGATTTTCTATAGGTCAGACCTCTAGGGTACATGCTGTGAATAACCACCTAATACTTTTTAAAGGGGAGAATATATTCATGCAAAAAAAAAAGTGATATGGAAAAAGTTGGATAAGAAAAGTCTTGGTAGAGGCTGGATTGCCATACAGATCATAAAAAAATATAGGAACTATCCAATTAATGGATATGAACTGCGCTTCTATTTGAACTCTATTCTATAGTTTTGAAATAATTGAAGATAATTGGATAATTGTGTAGATCTTATTGTAATTTCTCAAATTCCTGTACTTCCCTTTTCAATTGATAATCACTGCTATAATTTGCCTTCTCTGGTATGTGTAATTTCTATTTTCAAGATCTCTCTTTTAGAGAATCCTTCTTAACCCATTTTGTTTTCTTCAGTGTGGACATTTTTCATAATCTGATGGAGACTATGGACTTTTCCCTCCTAAGTGGGCCTATCTAAGTAATTTCTTACAATTTTACTTTCAGGTTGAGAAGGTTGAGACATGCCCTGCTCATTTATGACTCATCTTTTCATTCCACAAGTTGAAAATTACTGCTCTAAGAATTAGAAGTTAGCATTTCAGGAAAGTTAGTAATAAGTCCCATAGGCAGAAGAATGAACAGAAAACCAAAAATCATACTGTCCTCTCCATGCTTTTGACTTTCCTGTTTCTCATTCACCCCTTACTCACTACCTTCCAATTCATTTCCCTACAGAAATATTTGCCAAGAAAAGGAAAATTAAATTTTAACCAAGATCATGGCATTGTGTTGTGATTGCAATAGCATTTGCTGATTATTTCTAAAAAATAAATGCATATTCAGAAAGCTTAGAAGATTTCAAAAATTGCAACCAAAATGTCCTCTCTTTGGCTACTACTCAGGAAAAACAATGATTTCTAAACCTCCATCTTCTCCTATCAGTCAGAATCAAAAAACCTTTCTATTCATAAAGCAAAGTACATGAGTGGAAAGAACAGATGATTCATCCTTACACACTCCCCAAAATATTGAAGGTCTCAGTCTGATTTTAATTGAAATACATATCCAGAATGAATGGATGTCAACAAGATTTTGAGATAGCTTGAAATATTGGGCAGGAGGGTGCAGATAACTCCCTACCAGATTGCCTGGGTCAGATATTATATAGAATGTCTTTCAAGCTGAGGGTTCTATAGGCCATTTCATACTCTCAAGGATGTGTGAGAATTAGTGATGATGCTAGAATATGCCTGGCATTACTTATTTATCCATCCATACATTTATTCATTTAGGCAATACTTTTAAATATAATAATTATCACATGCCAAACACTGTTCTAATAGCAATGATGGGGGGGAAACCCAACTCATCATATATTATTATGCCTGGCACTTTAAAACAAATCAATGAACAATATCTACAGGAACTCATAGGGGATATTCTAATAGGTCCCAGGACAGTTTTATGGTTGTTAACAGAGCAGATCATCAGAAAGTTATTTATTTTCTGATTGCTTGCCTTCTGAAAATTTAATAATGACTGATGCCCGACTGATATTTAATAATTTTAAGAAGGTAACATTGTGTAAAATAGAGGTTATTAAATCCTAATATAAATCATTTAACTTAGCTTTAGTGTTAATGACAAACAATGAATGGTTCGAAGAAAATCAAAGTCAGAATTATGATTGGCCTTGCGGTTCTCAAAATTTTGTTTTTGAGTTTAGAAAGGCAATTTGATTTGTGCCCCTGGAGAAATCCAAGCATGGCTGAAATTCATTTTCTTATCCCAATGTCCCAGGTAGACTTTGTTTTTCTGATAGAGATGTGTTAGCTTTCAGCTTCCCTTGAAATTAATCCACAGTAAATTATCAAATACAGGATTTTTCAATTGCATATTAACTTTATCAGCAGAAAGGAAAATATTTAAATGAAATGATAAATACATAACACCTAAACATCTATAACCTTTCCAGAAATGTTTATATTGTTTCCATGAAAAATTTGTTCAATTACTTTAAAAATGAATTGATGTCATAGTAGCTCATTTGCCACATACTTAACATACCTATAGAATCTGCTTATGTGGAAGTGCACTTCCTTGAAAAATCTGTTTTTTTTTCCTACTATTTAAACATAAATGTATTCAGATATTATTACATCAATGAGAATTTCAGCCTCTGTATGAGTAGCTTAGTGCATTTTAATAGCATGAACTCCTTCAAGTGATCTACCGTACAGCTACTTTGAGATAAAATGACCAGTAAGTGGCGATTTGCATTAAAATAAAGTGAAATGTCAAAAATGGTTTAAGCCAAAGTCTTAACTAGGGCCAGCTCCTGGGATATCTGGACATTGATTTAAAGTTTCACCATTTCTTCACTTTCCCAGCCCATCGTGCACTGAACTTGACGTGAGCTTGGCAATACAAACTCCGCTAATGAATAACAATGAGGAAGCTGTGAACACCAATCTTCTCCCTTGGCTCAAAACATTGGTGCTCAGACTTAAGCATGCATCTGAATCATGCAGAAACCTGTTTAAAATGCAGATTTCTAGGCCCCCACCCTGACACTGTCTGGTTTACTGGGTTCAAGAAATTGCATGTCTAACAGAGTTCCTGGCTTAAGTCATGGTGGAAAAAACATTCATGCAGATGTAATGTTTAGACCAAAGTCCTGAGCTGTGGTATGACAGGTAATTAGACTCCTTTGCTTCAGGTAAGCTGAATTATTGCATCTTTTGTTACGGTGGCTTCATCCAATCACTCACATAGATGTATTCACCAGCAAGTAGGAGCTTTTTCCATGCGGGTTATCTAGAAATATTAGGAGTGACGTCGCTTATAGACACTCTCTGCACTGAGTGCAGTAGGAATGCGTTTTGCTATGACTGATTCCCACCCCAGGACATCAGGCAGCCCTTTCCCTGTTTGCCTTTCTTCTTCACATGAGCTCACATATCTCAAGAGTTACCTCTTCAGCTGATACACCTGCAGCAGGAGACCCATTGAAACAGAATTGGGAAATCCCATTTATAGCTGCATGAAAGAAGACACCTGTCAAACTCTCCTGTTAAATATCTGCACATGTGGGCTGTCCACTATAGTTATCTATATTTTACAGCTTCTCTCTCTATGCTTTCATTCTTCTATTTTAATGAAATAGGAAGCCCTGGGTCGCTCTCTCTGCACTTAAAAGGCAAATGTGCTCGGTTTTTCGACATAGTAAATACAGTTGCATTCCTCTCTAATCTGATGAGGTTGGATTCCTGTTTGGGAAACATCCACCTCTTAACACTTGTCAGAGTTCTGTGTCATAAGTAAATGCTTGTGGCCCTAGGTTTTTCAAAGAGCCACAATAAGGATTATGACTAACAATCACTGAACATTTTCTAAGAGCCAACTCTAAACTGAGACTGACATAAATTTATGTAAATAGTCAAGACATCAAGGTACTCCTTTTATGTGTAATATAAGGATACATGGCAGCTAAGTTTCAGGAAGAGTTAATTAACTCCCTCAAGGTCACACACCAGTAAAGTCAAACTATAGTTTCCATGCAGGCAGCTTTCTTTCAGAGGTCATTAGCTAATGGCCACTTCACTCTCTGAAATGAATATCTTTTATCTTGTGCTGTTTTTTGTTAAAATGTCACTCGAGCCAAGAACAATTCTAAGATATTTTCGAAGGCCTTTCACAAAATAAAACACCCAGAAAGTACGAATATGTTCCATTTAAAAAAGGGAAACCTATGAGTTGAGAAAAGTAATTTCATATATGTCTCAAATAACCTTAATTCACTGCCTATCAAATACCTTGTGCTTGAGACCATGCAAAACCCCGTCGCTGCTGAAAGTGTTTTTAAATTGTTGTTCTCACACTTGCTTAGGTGATAAGTTCCAAGACAGTGACATCGTTTTCTCAAAAAGAAGTGATCCATTTTTGCTCTTTAATGAAATTGGCAAAGTTGAATGGGACATAATTGTTCCAACAGACATATTAGGAGTCATCATGACATTCTCCAAAACCTGACAGCATTTCTCTGTTAATTTTGTTATGGTAATCTGATATCGCGTTGACTGTCATGCTTCATAGACATTTCTTTTTGGTAGAAATTATGTTGTAGCTATTTACAATAGAAGGATAAGCTATAATTTTTGCTACATTAGTAGTTGCCCAGTGTTACATTTTGGAGTGATTAATATCACGGTCTCATAAATATGAATTATAAAGCTAATTCTCTGACATCCTGAGAAACAACTCAGTACCAAGTTAATGCAGCTTTGCAATTGAAATACACACACTCAACCGGCACCAATTCCGAGTGTGTGTATCTACCCAAACAGTGTTCCGCACAGTGGTAATTCTCCTAATCCCTATAATTTATTCATCTCAGGATACACTCCACAGCATTGTTTGCATGTGTTGGTATATCCACTAGCTTTAAAAACTGTATTCATTATTGGGAGGGAACTGATGTGACGTGTCAGAAAGGTTTCTTGCAGTGATGTTTGTGCTGAGGAACACTCTGTTGGGTAAACCCTTATAACTTGTTCAGCAAAATGCATCAGCACTTGTAAGGATTCAAGATGTAAGTACATTACTTCCAAGACCCTCCCAAGAATCACACTATAACCACTGGAGTGCTTCCACATCTCAACCTAGATGCCCATTTATACTCAATTCAGAAAAAAACTATCATTGCCAAGTAGGAATGTCAAATACCCTTAAGTTTTTTATTTCAAGTCACAGACATCAAATGGGCCCAGGGTGAGAGCCTTCATTTTCATCGTACAAAACTGAGGTTTTAAAAGTGATGAATGGTCCTCCTTATTGTTGGCACACACAGTTCATGACAATCTAGACAACTAAAATGGATTCCATGATCCCAAGTATCAGAACACAAAAGGGATGTCATTCAGCTTTAAAGGCAGTACAAGCCTCTCTGATGTCATCAGAAATGCTGACGTCAAGTTTTATGTTACAGGTCATTCAAACAGTGAGCGCCATGGACAAAGATGATCCCAAAAATGGACATTATTTCTTATACAGTCTTCTTCCAGAAATGGTCAACAACCCGAACTTTACCATCAAGAAAAATGAAGGTAAATAAATTAGCATTGTGAAATAGCATAGAATGTTAATTGGAAAATAGAATGTGATGTCAGAACATGACTGAAAACATCAACAAAATAATTTGGTTCACCCATGAACTGTTGGAATCCGGTGTATCAGCCTAAGGGCATGGTAATCTTACATCACTTCCTCTTTCCAATATTGAAACAATAGATAGAATTGTTAATGTGAAGGTTAATTTTATCCCAGGAAATATTTCAATCACCTTCTTTTAAAAATGAACCATAAGATTGAACCCCCGTGAAAGTGCCAGGAATTTTTGAGATACTGCGATATCTGTGAGAGAAGGAGCTGGCTTATAGTTTGCAGTTGTTAAGTTTTAATTGAATGTTTACCAAGTCTTTAGGGAAAGCCTATTCTAATTTTGCCTGGTTTGTGGGTACACATTGGAGGTATTTGTTTTAAGCTTGTACCAACTTTGACAATAGCAATTAGATCAGAAAATCCTTCTTGAAGGACACTCCTTATCATTATTATTTTGGAGCTAATATAAACTGATTTTATTGTTAAGTCTTTCACTCATGAAGAACATTTAATCCATTTCACTATTTCTTGAGAAACAAGCTTGGATTAACGATTCCCCTTAACTATTGTCTATTACATATGAAGGTCATAGATCATTAAAAAAAATCTATCTCATCTGTACATTTTTGTTTCTTAGGCTGCTAGGAGAGATTTTTAACTGTTTATTTTGGCTCAGATGTACTTAAGTCTTCGTTTGAGCTGTTTTAGAATCATTAGCAAAACAAATGTGTTGTCTCAGGCTAGCTCCTGGCTTTACTGGAAGCATTTGTATAGAGTTATGAATGGTCCTTATAAAAGCAGTACTCAATTAGAAAATTTGCTTCGTGACATTTGTTTGGCTTAGTTGATGTGTTCTGTTTCAAAGAGGTAATCATGGTAAGACTTCCTTTATGAAATGAAATAACATTTTATGGCTCTTGAAATATATTATGGCCTTAGCTTTTAACATAATGCTACTTACTTCTTTGGGGATGTTTTGATAAATGCGGATGCAGAATAGGAAAGAAAAGGAGAAAGTGTTATATAAGTAATACTCATTCAGCTGACTGCCACTATTATAAACACTAAACAGACAAAATCCTGCTCTTTCTCCTCAATAATGTAGTACTGATTTGTTAGAGTCCCCTAACTATGAACTCTCATCCAAGTATATTGCCTTTTTTTTTCTGTTAACACTGTTTTTATGGAAGTTACACTACTAAGAGGAAAGCCCCCCCTCTGAAATCCCAAACTGAGCAGAGTCTGTGCATAAGTGTGCTCCTTGCTTATTTTGAGTGTAAGCTAACAGTTATCAATCCTTATTTTTGCATCTGAAATACCCTTGAGTTATATATTCTCTATGAAGAAATGTTTTTCCATCTCAAAGGTTCTGAGCTGCTGAGCATTTTCTGTGCACTCTACAATTTCAAGGTATGCCTGTTACAGCTGCTATTGCTCAATCTAAGATCATGTCGTAGAATGAGAAGTTGTGATTAGGTGCCAGAGGTTGTGTCATTGTGGTCTCTGTTATGCCCTAAACCTTTTATAGAGGAGATTTTTAGACTTACAGTGAATGTGTTTTATGTATTTTCTCTAATTGGGGGAGTTGGGGGAAAGTAAGTGTTGTATACTTAAGAGCCCTTTTTCTGCCTTATCACTCATTTCAGTAAACCCTGTAATAGAGTATTTAAAGACACGTGGATTATCTTTTTTATTTTTAAACTTGAAAATGGAAGTTACAGTTTAGACTTCCCTCACAGAAGTGTGTGTGCAATATAATTGAGAAAAAAAAATACCAGATATTGCAAAAGCACACCCAATGCACAATTGTTTATTTAAATGTATGTGTTTATTTTGCAAAGAGTGACCATATTATTTATTATTCTAACTGGGACTTTTTATGTCAAAAGAGTTGCTATTTATATTTATTCCTGGAAAAACCATAAACTAGGACTGTCTTGTGGAAAGTAGGGCTTATGTGCACTGTGATTTTGGATTTAGGGTCCAAATATGCAACATCTCCATAAAATAAATCACAAACCCATAGACATGTATTGGAATAGACATGTCAAGCTTATACTTTATCTCCCTTTTCCCAAGTCATCAATTCATAAAAAAGTTTTACTACAGACACCACTGGCATCTGGTTAGTAACTGTGCAAATAGGAAAGGGAAGTTGTGTCTTCTGAACGTGTAGAAATAAAGTAATGGGAAGAATTGTCAAGTTTTAAATGTTGGAGATATACAGATAAGAAGATCAATAATAGATTTTCTTGTTGTATTTTTTTATTTTTGCCTAGAAGAACTGGGGTGTAGGCCAGAGGTGCAAGGGGTGAGAGAATTCACCAGAGAAAGAGGGGAGCAGAACAGGTGGATCCACTGAAATACACTGCTAAGGGGAGTAGTGGGAGAGACAGGAGAGGTCTGCTGCACCATGTGGATCAGCAACCTGGCCTGGGATTGAACTCAGGCCATGGTGGTGATAGCACTGAGACTTAACCCCTAGGCCACCAGGGAGGCCCACAAATAGATTATCTTGTTGAGTCAGTTACCCATTCTTTAATAGTAATGAAAGAACACAAAACAACCCAAAACATCCACTTTGTGGTCATAATTTAAGAATGATAGTATATTTTTATATTTGAAACATGGGGAGAATCAAATGGTATAAGCATAATTGGAATTGCCTTTCTCCTTTAAGATAGAGTTTTAAATGATCAATCACTGATGTTTCTTCACTGAGAACATCTTGATTCAGAAGTTACCAGATGAAGGTTAAGATTTTGAGGTAGTAACATATTCATTCCCTTAATTGAAGGGTGGATGATCCCTATTTAATTAGATTATTAAAGGAGATGGTTTCAGGATGTGGGATTTTTGAAGGAACTTGCCTTGTGTCGTTCAGCTCAAAGTTACCGTGATCTTTCTCCTCTATCATACAGAAGGTCCTACGCAATTTTCAGCCAGCTAATTCATAATCAACGGCAAAATGAGATAGAAATTAGCTGTCTCTTGTCTCCTACACAGTTGAATGATTTCACAAATAATTCTCTTTCTGAATTTATGAGAATCATATTTCTGCCAGAATAAGAAAGCAACGTTCAATACAGTTAAAGGTAGCAAGAGACGTAAAAAAAATAAAATGTGACGAGTCACTTATATTCCATGTCCACCCCAAATAGCATCTTGAATTTTCTAATTATACCCCTGACATTTTTTCTCCATCTTCTAGTTGGGTGAATTTATAAACAAAAGGAGTTTGGAGGCCTCCCCAGTGGCACAGCGGGTTGAGTGCAGCGCTGTGAAGCTGTCCGCAGCCTCTGCAGTGTGGGTTTGATTCCCGGCTAGCCAGGGAGCTACCCACATGGCATGGCAGACCTCTCCTGTCGTGCCCACTGCTCCCCTCAGCAGTGTATTTCCGTCCACCTGCCTGTTCTGTTCCCCGTTCTGTCTCTGGTGAATCCTCTCACCCTCCCACGCCTCTGACCTGTACCCCAGTTCTCGTATAAAAATAAATAAAATCTAAAGAAAAAAAAAAGGAGTTTTGCTGGCTGTATTGTAGTAGTGGCTTCCATCCCAGCCGTGAAAATGGAGGCTAACCAACAATTAAATTTAACAAGAAAGGGAAGAGAAATGGACCTTTTACAGATACAGAAATATGTTGCCTGCAGAAAATTTGAGATCTGCAGAAATCTCTTCTCTAGCCTACACATGGTAGATTAAAGATTTGATTGGAACTGCCAGAAAGCAGTCTGGTAAAGTGGGAGTCTTCATATTTTATACTGAAACATTCAAATCATGTGGGTAGAGAAATGAGGAAAGAGAGAAAGTTCTAGTCTTGAAGGAGGACCTGTGGGAAGGAGACAGTAAGAACTGGCCTTGATTACAGCTTGGTTAGGCTTTTAAAAAACACAGAGGAACGAGAGTACTTGATGATACTAATTTTTTTCCTGATCTCTCCTTTTTGACCGAAATCCTGTTGATAAGAGTCTAATTGTAAAGGCACGCTTGTTATAATTAATTTGGATAATTTGGATGCTAGCGTTTTTGGACAACTGTACCTTGGGTTGTCTCAGTTAGTTATAGTTATCACTTCATGCTTTGCTTTGTGGGATTTCGCTCTACACTGATTGGCCATCTTGAAACTGTATGTCTTTAATGTTTTGTTTTGTTTTGAATCCTCTAAAAGCATCTCTTGTGAGAACACTTGCTACAGGCAAGTCACTTTAAGCCCCAGTTTCCTCACCTGTCTTGCCAGAATGTGCCGTGTAGCTCAGGGCCACACAGCTCAGCCTAATAGCTGCCACTCAGAAAACACACCTCGGTAAATGGGACAAGATCCTGCTTATATGAATCCAGTAACTCCTGAATTCTCATGCTTTGTTCCATTGCATCTGGTTTATCATTTTCAACTTGGTCTCCCTCTACAGCTTTAACACTGTTGATTTTTGGATATTATACAGTAAATCTAAAAGTGGCCTCATTGGGAGTTGTTAAAAACCCCTCCCTCACTAGAATGTGATGGAGAAATCTGCTTAGCAATGTGTTACAGTCTAAAGGGCATTATTATAGAAAAATAAAAGGAAAAAAAGGAGGCAAAAGAGGGTAAAAAGGAGAAGGCAGACAAGGTGGGGGATAAATTAAAATATTTACCAGCCAGAGAAATACAAGGATTCCTGGATCTGGTTTTAAATACAAGGACTTTTTGTTTGTCTCCTTGGCCAATATTAAACTCAGGTTTCTCCACAGAGTGGCTATCTCCAGCTTCCAAAATTGTTTATATTATTTCCTGTTATCTAGCATTGCATGTTGTTTCAAATTACCTGCAACTTCTAAACCCACATGCTCTGTGGGAATCCCTTTGCATAGGCTGGAAAATTAAAGACAGACTCTTTATTCTTTTTTTTAAAGATTTATTTATTTATTTAGCTGGGGTACAGGCCAGAGGTGTGGGCGGGTGAGAGGA